TTCTTTTCTTTTCTTTTCTTTTCTTTTCTTTTCTTTTCTTTCCTTCCTTCCCTCCCTCCCTTCCTTTCTTTCTTTCAAGAGGAGAGTGGTTATCCTTATATAGTCCAGCCTCAAAATTTCTAAATATCCTTGTTTGGTTGGCTTTGAAGTAATGATCTTTGTACCTCAACCTCTCAAGTACTGGGATTACAAACATGCACCACTGTTCATGGGTCTTCAGCCTTTGTATTCTGTAAGAGCTCCATTAAAGCTCTTTACTTCTTGAACTTCATTTTATGTGACTCTTATTCCCAATGGACTTTCAATTGATAAGTCCATTCAACTGATAACTTGCTATGGCAGCATAAGTAAAAACTTCAAATTAAGAAGTTGAAGCATCTAATAGCCAAAACATAAGAAAATCTAGTAAGTTTTAATAAGCTTAGAGCCATGTATCTCATACTTTTTGAACTACAGACTCTGTATTAACTGAACATTTTCCTTCCTCAGTTCCTATACCACCAAAACGGACCCGTCGTCCTCGCCCCAAACCTAAAACCACAACAACTCCTGAGACTCCTCATTCTAAACCTGGTAAATGTGGGTTTCTATTTACAAGAGTGCTTCTAGAAGATCTTGGGAAACTGTTAGCAAGGCCAGTGGTGAAAGTGATAGCTCCTGTGCTGTGTGGGGTGAAGGCACTCTGTGAACTGCCACTGCTCCCACTGCTGTGCTTACATGGGAAAGCAAGGGGTGGAGTCCTGTGTGGCAGCTCAATTGCTTGTGCTTCTACACAAATTTCACCTCTATTACCATGTATCTTATTTGATACTACTTATTTTCATCTTTCTTCTTTTAAAGACAAAATGTCAGTGTCTTAAATAAGACCAAGTGTAAGTGGTGTAGTGAAGGTCAGAACTTGTCCCTGTATGACGTACACAAAGATTGAAATGTGGTAGTATAACTACATAAATTAAACTTTTTTAGGATGTCTTTGATATTTATGAACTTAGAGGAATACAAGTTAGTGAAGGACAGGATTACAGTGAGTTGGAAAACAGTAGGATCTTAAAATAATGGGAACAGATAGAAGAAGGGTATAAAGCCCAACTGGATGGCACAAGCTTCCTGGAATGAACAGAATCCAGCTACCAGGTGTGCCAATAGTGCTGTTCTGGGAAAATCCCTTAAGAGAACTGAAGGGAAATTCTTGAAGGAATGATTCCAAAGTTTGGATCTAACCCAAAAAACATCAATGAACATCCCATCTATCTGGAGCACTACAATTTTGTTGTGAGAACAGAGACCGTTTCACTGAGTACCATACTAATTAGATGTCCCTTATCCTGTTTGGTGAGCAGTTTTGTCTCAAATGAGATTTGAGCCTAACCATACATGAGTGAAAACACGAGTCTGGTTCACTTTGCTTTATTAAAAATTCTTTGATGTATCCTTGCTCATTTAGGCGTATTCTTTTCTTAAAGCTTCCATACAAAAACCCGTAATTGCAGAACAGTTATATAAGAATACCTTTGATAAATGTCTAAAGTTTCTAGGACATTCTTCAGCAATAGTTGAAATAAGGTACTCCAGATACCTAGGAGAGAATATTGTGTTGACCTTATTAAGATGTTTACCATATAGTATAGGCAGGACTGAGTACCTCCTAAAAGAATGTTTGCCTGTGTACAAGGTGACCTAATCTTCAAGTAACAAGTATTAAATGTCAGAAATTTTCTCAAAAATGCTTTATACTTATTCCAGGAAGGATATGTTGTCTTACTGACTTTTCACACACATTTATTTCATTGCTTTTAATTCGTTCCTGCTACAGATCTTGAACCTGGTGCCCTTAGAACGGAAGCTCCTGCAACCATGGGTAATGAGAATTGTGTCCTTCCAATAATGTTTTTCTGTCCATTGTCACACCATCATATCACCAGTTCTCATCTAGGATCATGCCATCATCATCCTCTGTTGTCACTCCATTAGAGCCTTTATCTTGAAATGATACTCAGCTCTATGTCAAGCTATTAGTTAACTGTTCAACACTGTGGCATGTGGCCACATGCATTTAAACAGCACTAAGACCGTTTCCATGTGAATCTGCATCTGTTGTACTTATGCTGCATGCCCCTCAACAATTGTGGAAATGTGTGTGTTTACTTGGATTGCTTTTGTTGTACTAGAATCTTTGTGCTATGTTGGTGGATCTGTGGTTTAAAGGAATGATAATTTCAGTGAATTGACAGATATAAAATGTGCCCATCCTGAAATGTTTAAACCATAGGCTTCCATGATAAGGTGACTGACTGTCTCCATCAGGTTAACAGTCTTTCTTAACTTTTTGAATCAAGGACCACTTTGAGAGTTCGATGAGCATGTTTCATCAGTTTGTCTTCTTTATGTTTTCAAAATATTAACTTTTAATTGTATCTATATTTTAAAAGCAGACAAAAATAATATGTAGTTATCATATATCTCAGCTTACCAAAAGTACAGTAAACTAATAAATGCTTTCTTTAGTATAGTCAGAAAGGCGTAAATCATGTAAATGTATAAAAATATCTCCAGCAGACTTCTACAGCACCCGGGGACAGGGAATCCAATGTCAAAAGAACATCTTGGGTACCACACTGTAATATTTAGACATGTGCTGTGCTATCTTGCAAGTCTATATCATGAAATTAATGAGGACCTAGCCATGGTTTGGCCAAATGTGCAAAGAGCAAGTGTCTCTTAGTTTTCAGGCTTAAAAATTGATTTTTGGAATTAACCTAAAAATTAATTGAAATTTTTTCTTTGGTTTATTTTACTCTTTTTTGTTCAGTTCTTGTTACATCCCTTGAACCTGTCACACTTAGAACCAAGGCTCCTGAAACATTAGGTAATGACGCTGTGTTCCTCAATGCCTGTTTTCTTGCTTATTGTCATACTCATCCCAAATCGTTATTTTAATTATATCGTCATGAGCTTTATCACAGCCCTGTCATCTGCTGCTTCTTGAGAATATTAAAGGTTCTTAAAGTTACCTTTTTTTAATCTTTTTTTTTTTTT